TTGTATTTTCATCTAATTCAAGAACTTTTTTAAAATAGGTTAATATTCCTCCTCCATTTTTATTTCTGTCTTTTCTTATTATTTTATATTCTGGAATGTTTAATGAGTTATCTGTTACTTTTTCATCAATTTTAGTTTTAATTAGTGTGATAATATCATAATTGGGAACATAATACTGAACTTCATTCCAAGTTGTTCTAAATCTATTTATATTCCAAGTCGTTAGTCATAACCAATTGTTACAAGTATTAATTTTATAGTTGTTTTGTTTAGCTTTATAATTTGTATTTCTCGTTGTACTCTCAACTTTGAAGATAATAAGTGCATTTCTTTTAGTGCTTTTCTGCTCTAGTTTTTTTGATGGTTTTATCGTTTACTGTTCAACTATAGTATCAACGTTTGTCTCATTTTCTGCTTCTATGTTGTTTTCGAGTTGTTCTTTGTTTTGATTTGTTGGATTTGTTCGTTTAATTTCAGTTGTTTTGATATTGATGTTTGTTGTCTAAGTTTTTTAGAATATTTTGTTTTATTTTTAGTTTGTTTTCTATTTCCATGTTTCTTTCAAGTGGTTTGCTGTTTTTTTGTTTTTTTTTGGAAGATTTTGTTCGCTATTTCTTAATATTATTTGTCAGTTTCTGATCATAAAAAAGTCAAAGTTCAAAGTCTCTACATATTAAATCTAGTTTTGAAATTTTGGTTTTGTTGTATTTTATTTAGAGTCCATAATTTTCGAAAATATCCCATCCGTTGCATTTGGAACAAGCTTCGATCGAAGCTTTTTTAAACTGCTTAAAACTTTTTATAATATAGAATGTGGATCATGTTTGCATGAGTATCCTGGACAAAAATAACAAATGATCAACTTAGAGGTAGGTATGCGGAAATCGCGTTTTGCCGACCCAATAAATCTACTAAAATTTTGTTCCACGATTTTAGAAGTTAGATTTTGGAGAGACAGGTTTTACCGACCATTGTCAATTTACTTCTTAGTAATAGTTATTTTCTATACTTTAAGTTTTTTTAAGCTTATGCATTTCCTACGCACTTGCCAAAAATTATTGAAAAATAATTATGCATACTATTTTCCCGATTACGATTTTATAAAATAAAAATTAGGCACCACAAGCAATTTTAAGCCGTTTAAAAAAGCTTCGATCAAATGGCTACATCCTAATAAAATAATTATTATAACTCAAGGTTATAATAACTAAATAATAGCATAGTTATTATAACTCAAGGTTATAATAACTATCCTATTTTCCCTATATTTGTATGTTCTTTTATGTTCATTTAAAACTAATGGAATTTATATACATATATATATATATATATATATATATATATATATATATATATATATATATATATATATATATATATATATATATATATATATATATATATATATATATATATATATATATATATATTTATATATATATATATATTTATATATATATATATATTTATATATATATTAAAAGTGGTGTTTTATTTTTAAATTCTTTTTTAATCGCTAAATCTTAATTGTAATTTATTATTTAATTTGAAAAATAACATAATAAATTATTACATTTGTTAACAATTAGATTTTTTTAAACGCAATGTTAGTTGAAATAATTTTCCCACTTCTCATTCAATATGCCTTCACAATAAAATATTTTCATGTGCTCAGGTTTATTATTATTTTTTTATTGTTTATTATTATTTTTTAGTTTTTTTTTATATAATTGTTATATATTATATTTATTAATTTATTTATATCAAAACTAAGAAAAAAACATTCGCTGTAAAAAAACTAATTACTAATAGAAATATATTTTTTCAGTGTATACATTGTAGTTACAAAAGTCTATTGAAGACGAAGAAAAACATTCTTAACATGCGCAAAATGAGTTTTGGACCTTTTGAACCTGACGTTTTGGACCGAATATTTTAGTTATTTTAATAACTAGATATTAGTTCTAGAATTAAATTTAAAAAAATTGAAAATAAATTAAAAAATTAATTGAAAATAAATTTAAAAAAATCGTTTATAAAATACCCGTTATTTCTATTTTAGAAAAAAAAAAGCATAGCATAAAAAGATAAAGTTATATAATTCAATTCTATATTTTTTCTTAATCTTAATTATCAGGAAAAGAAAATGCAATAACCGACAAAGTTTACTTATTTGCGTAATTTTCTTTGTTCTTCTTCTAGCTAATTCATTTTGTTTAGATGAACATGAGCTTTTTTTACTCAATAGTAAAGCCAAAAGTAATGTAAGCAATTTATTTTTTAATTAGCTTCATTAATAACAATACATAGAGGAAGCGCATTTTTTTGAAGGCAATCAAAAGATTAACGTGAATATCATCAGTTTTTGTCAGAGCAATTATCGATGTAAGTTTGGGGTTCAATTTTACGCTAATGTCAAGGATGTTGAATTAAGGGTAATTTATTTATAAAAATATTTCCTCAATAATATATAGAATAAAAGTACATATAAAGTATACCTCTTTGTAAGCATTCAAAAACATTATGTTCTTAATATGTATCCTTACAAAATTTTATGATTTAGAGTTTCAATTATTTTTTAAATATGATTTTTTTTTGTTATTTAAGTGCCCGATGAAGATCTAAGGGTCTTGTCACAGAGCACTGCGTAAGTGCATTTATCTAGGAAGTTCACGCCTCCTTCTTTACCGTGACGCAAAAATATTTCCAGAGTTCGTTTCGAACCTGGATCTCCTGTTTCTAAAGCAAGCGCTCTAATCACTGCGCCAAGCCGCTAAATTTAAATATGTCATCCAATTTAATCAAATAATAATGGGGTCAAGGCGAAAGGTTTTTTTTGTTAATGCTGCTGGTAGCGTAAGTCTTAATAAAACATGCTGTTATCTATTCTTAGCCCCTTGGGTAAGATTGAATGTATTGGGTGATAATATATTTATTCTGTGGGCGAGGTTGAGTTAGTTTGGTAGGTTGAGCAAAAAACATTTTTATGGAAATTCTACAACTTTAAAAAATTGTAAATGTTATTACAATCAGAGAATAAACAGTGGAAAATAAATTTAATTATAATCTAAAATGTACAATAAATAATTAACTCGGTAGAGTTGCATTAGCTGGTTTGAATAGGGCAAATTAAGTAGCAAAAAAATTACCGAAAACCAACAAATTTTATTTAAGAGATAGGGAAAAGCGGGGCAACATGGCGAATGGGGCAAGATGGGTTTTCATATAACAACTCAACAAAAAATCTTAAAGTTGGGTGAAAATGAAACTGTGTTTGCATCTTGTACTTTAGAACACCAATTGGTTTTGTTAAATATTATTGACGCATTTTTATACGCATAAGTTTACTTTATGGGCTTTAGAAAAAATTCCTCAGTTTCGGTTTCTCATAATGGATGGTGTCCTTCAAGTTTAACTTCTTTAAAAGTACTTTTTTGCGACTTGTGTTTATTTTTTGTTACTTTAGTTAGAGTTATTGGTAGTTTTTAAAATTTTATAAAATTGGAGGCAAAATAATATAAAATTTGTTAAAAGTACTTTACGCTTAGTATAGGGGCTTGATGACAAGACTTCTGTCTTCTACTTGCTCCTGCCGATTTTAATTTTTTTATTTAAATTTTATTGATGAAAATTGTAAAACAAGAACGTTGTAAAATGTTTATAAAAGACGAATTTTATAGTGTCAAAAAAAAAAAAATGTAAAGTTACCCTAAGGATGTGTTAAACGTTAATAAAAATAAGATAAGCTGTTACATTTGAATAAATTAAGACTTAAAAATACTTTTTGTTCAAAAAAAATGTTTTGATACAAAAAAACCATTTTCTGTTACCGTTAATCACTAATTAATTGTTGGTCTGATTGCGAAAACAATGCTTCATGACAAACTAACGTCAATAGCGGTAAGCCCAATCGAAATCCAATGCAGTTACGCCAAATAACTCAATATCTGATTAAAGTCAATAGCAAATTATTTCTTTGCTGGTTTGCCTAATAGATCAAAAATATTTTAGTCCCAGCTGCAGATCCAATATTGTCTAATAATTCAAAATTTGGCTCAGCCAAATGCAAATTCTATGCAGTTGTGCAAAATAACGCAAAATCCGGATAGTGAAACTGAAAATTCATTGCTATCGAGTCAATTAACGTAAAATGTGGTTGGCCAAACTGTAAATCCATTGTAGTTGCACCAAGTAATGTATATTTGTATGTATGTATGTAAGTATGTATGTATGTATGTATGTATGTATGTATGTATGTATGTATGTATGTATGTATGTATGTATGTATGTATGTATGTATGTATGTATGTATGTATGTATGTATGTATGTATGTATGTATGTATGTTTGTCAGTACATTCGTACCTTTAATGAGACATTGCGCTTTTATACTGACTCTTTACGAGGACTTTTTTTTTTGTCGGGACATTTTTAAGTCCCGATAAAAATAACAGCAAAAACTATGTTAATTCGATGTATTTCAATGAGTAGCACTGTTAATTTTCAAGTCTCAATAATGGGGCTTTACACGAACATTCAGCTTACACTAAAAAACTAGAAAATTCACCATTATCGGGACTTTAAAAAAATTATTGTTTTTTTTTGCAAATTTCGTCCACTTCGCCTCCGCTCAAAAATTATTCGCTTACACGATTTACATACACGCGTAGTTTTTCGTGTTCTTTAACCAGGACATTTTCTAAAGTTTTGGCAATCACGTTATGAAACTTGTTATGCCAATAGCCTTTTTTCGTAGGGAAGCGTTTTGTGATTATTTTTAGATTATTGTTTTTTTTTTTTTTGAAAGGTTGTTAAATTAAAATTATTATAGCAAAGTTATTGAATTAGTCCTTTTTTAAGATTAATTAAATTTTAGTTGGTTTTTTTACCCGCAAATTTTCCTTTCCGGTGAATTATAAGAGAAATCTACAATATGCATAAAAACAAAGTAAATATTATTAATAAAGTTGATATATATTCAATATACAAATATAACACTCTGACCTTTTTATATACACTTGCACAAAATGATAATATAATATTCAATTAACGTTAATAATTTTGCTATCAAAATAACAACTTCAAAACACACTATTATTTGTAGGTGTCGCTTTTCAAAAAAAATACATGCTTATATAAATTACACATATGCATAAATTAACTTTTTCTAATCTTGTTGTTCAATTTGTTTTTAACGATTTTATGCCCTCTTTTTTGAAAACAAGGTATACATTCGATAATTTTTTTGACATCAAGAAGTGGATAAGGAATCTTTCTCGTGATATATAACGATAACGCTTTACGAAGTGATGCCTTTTCTTTCAACCATTGCAGGATGTCCTTAACTAAATAAGAATACTAAACTATAAGCAACAACAAAATTAAATACCATATTATTAGAGCTTTATTTGTTTATAAATAAAGAAATATTTTTAAAGAAAAACTACCCACGACATCTTCATCCGAAGAAGTGCAAACACTAGAACGTTCTCCTGCATTAACTTTTGATATCCCTGTAACAAATAAAGAAAAAATGGCCTTAACAGCCAAAATTTATAAATTTGAATAAAATTTTTTACCAGTTTTTTAACCAAAGCATAAAATAACAGTTATAATTTTTAATCAACGTCAAAAAATGTTTTTAAAATCAAAACTATAAAACACAATTATTTGAGGGAGCTGCTTTACACCCATTTTTCCAATCCTGTTAGCCTTAGAAGCTTTATTATTCATCATATCATATTTGTACATAAAACGATACTAAATAGTTAGAAACAGATTTACAACTAGATTTCTTACCATACAAAAAAACTATTTTACAAAACAGTATATTTAGTACAGAATATATGATCTGCAAGACGTTTCAAGTCAAAAAAATAAAAATTTTAAGTTTATTCCATTTCCACTTTCTACACACTAAAACCAGAAAATTTAAATATTAGATACTACATACTGAAAAATAAGAATTTAAATATTAGACCAATAAAAAAAATTTTAGTCCTAAAATATCAGTTTCTGATGATGCACAAATGTGGTAGTTTAGTTTTTTGTTGTTTTCTAAAAATGAGTTTACTCAGAAATATGAGGAGCCCATTTGCAAAACACGCTTAGTGTTTTGCAAACGGGCTCATCATATACCCACCTTATATAAGAAAATTTTCATTCCAGGTAACCAACATTTATATGCAGAAAAAAACGTGAAATAAAAGATAAAAAGTTTTAAAGTAAAAAAAACAAAAAACAAACAAACAAACCATTTCCTTTCAAACTATTTTGTAAGTGATCAATTTTTTTTATTTTGAATGCACCGTGCATCACCGTTATCCATAGCATAAAGAACTTTTGTTACTTTTGCATTCTATAGTAGAATCCCCATGTTGATACTAATTTTGATGGACATCTTTAGTATCTCTATATGACTCGTAAGCCACAAAAGCTCAGAAGTATTTATGCCGAACAACTGTAGAATGGTTGACAAATACTTTCTAGTTCTAGTTATAGGTTTTGGCTTAGGTAAACTAAACTTTTTTTGTTATGGATTGCATTTTATCCAAGCCATGTAACTTATAACAGGCTAAAAAAAATAATTATGTGTTTGCCTGTGGTAAGTAAAAATAATCGTAACTAATACTTTCACAGAAGAACCAAATTTAATTGCATATACAACATAAAAAACACATTAAAATTTTAATATCAAATGGCTGATGTCGTGAAACTTTTAATGCCAAAGTGAATAAAAAATAAAATTCAATACCTTTCCATTTTTTTGCTTTTAATGAAAGATAGTTCAAATCATTCTGCAAGCTTTAAATTTATAGGATGCTCTGAGCAATAATGTTAGTTTGGCATTATCTGCCTTTTTCTACCATACACTATCTGCCTTTTTTCTACCATACACCATCTGCCTTTTTTCTACCATACACCATCTGCCTTTTTCTACCATACACCATCTGCCTTTTTCTACCATACACCATCTGCAATTTAAGCATTGCCAATCAAACTGAATGCTCCTACCAATATACAAGGCGCTTTTATATAATTTAATTCCTTGTTATCATTGCCACATCTAAATTGAATATTTTTTCTTTATTAGGACAAGTTATTAAAAAAGCAAACAAAAAATAAAACATTAGATATATATATTCTCATTTTTAGAAAATTATAATACTTACCAATACCTAAATCATTTATGTTGAAGAAAATAAACTGCCTTTGTTTTACTTAAAATTATCTTTTCTTCTTTATATCTATACTCTTTATATCTCTATATATAAAACAAATAGAAACTTTATCAATCTTTAAAAAAGTAACAAGCTGCAAAATAACTTGCTACTTTATTAGATTTCAATTAATGTAAATTCGCAAAGCTACAATAGTACATTACATCGAAGCAGTGTTTTAATTAGAAGCTGTAATGGAATTGATTACAAAAAATATGTTTAAGATTGTTTAAATCACTTTGCTAACTTGTGATGAATAAAAACTGCGCCTTGTGATGAATAAAAACTGCGCGACGCATAAGGGGTCGTACATAAATTACGTCACGCTATGAGAGGAGGGGGGGGGGGGTTGGTAGTTTTGTGACGACTCATACAAAACTTAATTTGTGACGAGGGGGAGGGGAGGTCAAAATCTGTCAAAAATGCGTGACGTAATTTATGGACGATCCCTAAGCACGACGTGATTTTTGACGTCATTAAATTCTTTTTATTTGCTTTTCATATTTTTCGACATTAACTGCACCAATTTACTTAATTACCGCAAAACTACTTTAAATCATTAGTGTAGAAATGTTATTATTCAAAAATGTTTTGGAATGTTTCGTTTTTTAAAATGTAAAAACATTTGTTTATTTTCTCGACGTTTGACACGTTTTATCTATACTAAATGAATAAAAAATATTATAACTAAACATTTAAAAAAGATTATAAAATATGCTAATATTTGATTTATTTTTTCTCAAGTATGTAATTTAAAGTTGTTCAAATAATTATTTTTTCTTTTTAAAAAGTCAGCAATTAATAAACTGGAAATTTTAATATTGTACGTGTAAAAACTGTGCAATAGCTAGTATTTTTACCAGCGATTTTATTTAATATTTTTTTATTTATTTATTTTTATTTTTTTTATAAAGCGGTTGATAAGCACAATCACTCGTATTACTAAAAAACTTTAACGAACGTTTTGAATAGATTTTTAATGTTTACAAGGAATTTTATTTCTAGTAAAATAAAATTTCACTAGCAGTAGTAGTAAATCAACTTTTTTTATTTTTAAGAAAAAAAATTAATGCACGTTTTAAGTCCTCATTTAGATATACTTTATATTTTAAGTTTTATGAAATTGCTTACGATTACAGGTTGCAAATTAATTTTTATTTTATTTTTTACGTTTACTGAGCCTTGTTCAGGGTGTTTGTGGAAATTCGTTTTACATCGGTAGAAAACGGGTAACAAAGCCAGCAGCCGTATTCACGTCTCTCCGTTAAATTAACAGAGAGTTCAAGTGACCGTTAAGAAAAAAGTTGTTAACGGGCCGTTACGAAACGGATGGAGAAATATCGTATTCTTATCCTTCCGTTAAGTCACCGTTTATTAACCGCTCTGTTAACTTTGTCAGTTAAATTCTTTTCGTTTGCCCGCTTCGTTATCTAACTTTCGTGCAGAAATTAAAAATAATATAGACTAAAATAATGCAGAAATTAAAAATAATATAGACTATAAAATGCTAACTATATTAAAGAAATTAGATAAATTACAATTTATTTATTTATTACTATATACTGTATTAACTATAATAGCTAATATAATTAATAGTTTTGACTATAATAAAATTTATAGTATATTATTAATATATGTAAACTTCAGCATAGAGTTACCTATGTAAGCTATCATTATAGATACTCTAATAACATTTACAAAAGATTAATGCTTAACAATTTTAAGGTATCGCAAACAACATAATAGGGTAAACAAAATAAAACATTATTAAAATACTTTTATTAAATTAGAATTTATTATTATATTATAAAGTTAAAAGGAGTCTTGACTGTTTACAATTGCTAAGAAAGTATGAACTTGCCAGAGCTCATAGTCTCAGTTTACGCTGCATCAAAATGTAATACCTGACAAATATACATATTTAATATGAATTAAATTTAATTAACTTCAATTTAATAGGATATAAAAACCATTACTGAGACTTATTAACTTTTTTCTAAAATTTGTTTAGTCTTAATAATAATAAATTTTTTTTTGATGCACCGTAACAGACACTGAGAAAACCATGCATTCTGAGCTAGTGTAAATTTAATAATGACCAAACTCAGCCATTTTAAGCTAAGTTTACATTGGCTTAGAATGCATCGTTTTCTCAGAGTCTCAGTTAAGGTGCCTTAAAAATTCATTTTTTTACAGATTAAGACAAAACTAATTCTAGAAACAAAGTTAATAAGTCTCAGTAATGGTGTTGATATACCTATTAAATTTAATTCATATTAAATATGTTTATTTGTAAGGAATATTTAATATTATATTATAATAATTAATACTCCAATACTGTAGTAAGAAATTATAAATTAATTTCAATTAAATTCATTTATGCTTTTATGTCAGGTATTGCTTTTTAAAACACCTCTACTGACTTACGTGAACTTTTTTCTTAATTTTGTTGTAATTTTGTTTCTATCTCTTACAAAAAACAATTTTTGATGCACTGTAACTGAGACTCAGAGTGATGGGGAAATCATACTTTTTATGTCATCGTTAACTTAATAACAATCGAAACTCTTTTACTTTCAAGAAATATATAAAAAATAAATACTCGATTGTTTAAACGATAACATACTTTTTATAAGTAATTGTTAATTGAATTTATTAACTTTAAATCCTCAATCCACCTTTATCGGTACTGCACGTGGCATACTCTGAAACTAAACGAAACTACAAATTATTTATTCAACCTTTTTTAAACACCGTTCCACAGAGACCTTAAAATTCAATACATTTTTAAGATTTTGATTTCTCTTGGAAAAATATTTTTTTAATGCACCTTTACAGAGACTCAGAACATTGGAAAATCATACTTTCTAAGCAATAGTAAAATTAAAAACGTTTAGGACTCCTCCTCTTTCAAGAAATATATAAAAATAAATATTCCATTGTTTAAATGATAACATTTTAATGACTACTTTAATAAAAAATTTACTCACCTTAATCCTCCATTGCACCCTTGTCGGCACAGCACGGTGTTTACTCTGTTTAAAAAAATTCGACACCATGTGCCGGTAAAAATCTAGAACTACTTTAAAATGTGTGATAGAGTGCTTGAATCCAAAAGTGCAGACAAATTTTCAAGCTAAGTTTTGAAAATTCAAATCCCCGTCATGTTTTTTAGAGTTAAGATTTTAATAACGGTTAAGACTCATTTATTTTCAAGAAGTATATAAAAATAAAAAAATCAATACTGTATTAAAAATAATATTTCATTTAAATTAATATTTCATTTAAATTAAATGAAATACGTTTATGTTTGTTTGTCAGGTAATACTTGCTTTATTTTTTTAAGCACCGTTACTGAGACTTGTTAGCTTAATCATTTTCTAGATTTTGTTTTGTTTTATCTCTTAAAAAATTTTCTTTGATGAACCGAAACTGAGACTAAGAGTATATCCACACTATCTAATCCAAGAAATCTATAACTTATTAACATAGAAATATTACAACAATTATTCCAATTACTTGATAATATAAAAATAATCTAAGAAATGTTCCACCCATTTTCTAAACAATAACATTCTATCATTTAATCACTAATAATTAATTAAAATTAATTTCCATAATTCTTTATTGCGATTTTATCGGTACTGCATGTGGCATATTCTGAAATATAACTTACAATGTAAGTTATATTTCAGAATATGCCACATGCAGTATGGCATATTCTGAAATATAACTTACTATGTAAGTTATATTTCAGAATATGCCACATGCAGTACCGATAAAAGTGCAATAAATTAATTTCAATTAACTATTAGTTATTAGTTTTTTTAAAAATAATTCAAAACCCTTTACTAGCAACTGAGTTTAAACTATCATTTTTGTATAAATATTCTGTCTTTTTATTTAAGTTACATAAAAAGACAGAATATTTATACAAAAATAATAGTTTAAAATTAGTTGCTAGTAAAGGGTTTTCAATTATTTAAAAAAAAAAGTGCCGGAAAGGTAAAAGAGTCAATTCAACCCGAAAACAAAATTTAAAATGTGCATTAGACCATGGTCGACGATAACGTGGAAATGAAGGGAGGGGAGCCAAAGTGCGCTGCTCCCTTTTTTTTTTTTTTTTTTATTCAGAAGTTTTTAGATTTACAGGACTTTTTTAAAAATTGACGATTGTGCCCATCCACTTCGAAACCGTACCGTCGATTCTGTAGGGTGCTGGAATGCAAAAGGACAAAGAGAAATTTAAAAAAAAGTAATAAAGAAAAAATTCGTAAGGCGAAATCATTTAACGAATTAAATTTTTTTTACTTTACTTATGTTTGTAGTTAGTTTTCCTCCGTGTTTTTAGCAAGAGAATTTTCAGATTTTTCAACATGAGGCAAAATTTTTCTGTTATAAATTAAGCTCATTTATTAAACTCATAATTTCAATTATAAAATCATACTTAAATTTTTCTTCAAAAACATTTTATTATATCATCGAAATTTTTTTAAAAAATATAAATACTTCAGAAAATTGTTATAAAACGTTTTAAAGGCTAAGTTGAGACTGAGCACAACAATATTTATAATATATAAATAATAAATGACAAAGATAAAAACATTTTAGTTGGGTGCGTAAATCGTCCACCGAGTGGAAAAATTAAATTGTTTGAAGAATTCATAAAAAATACAGTCTCAAAAATAAATAAATAAAAAAAAAAATTTGTATATTGCCGGCGACATAAATTTGAACGCTCTGACATATAAAAATAATCCAAAAACAAAATCTTTTTTTGACATGCTTTTTAAATATAATATCTTACCAGTTATAAATAAACCAACTAGGGTAACTAAAAGTTCGGCAACTGCAATCGATAATCGATTTCTTGACATTTATAACGAAACGTGCCCTTACGAATTCAAAATAACTAAAAAAAAACAATATTGAATCCTTGAATGGATAAAACTCTTATAAAATGATCAAGAAATAAACAAAAACTTTACAATAAATTTTTAAAAAACAGAACTGAAGTAATGAAAAAAGTTACAAAAAATATAAACGCTTTTACGAAAATCTTCTCAAAAAAGCTAAAAAAACATATTATAGTAAAGAAATTACAAAAATCAAATTCGATGTGAAAAAAGCATGGGATTTAATTAACGATATAATGGGAAGAAAGAAAATAAATACGGCTATATTACCTCAAAGAAATAAATATCAATAAAACTGATATCTATTGTTCATTACAAATCTCGAATGAGTTAAATAAATATTTTACAAACATTGGCCCTAACCTTACTAAAAAAATCATAACTACACCAAATTCTTTTCAAAAATATCTTAAATCTTTAAATAGCGCGATACTGCAAGATCGCGAATTTTCTCATGAAGAGTATGATATTGCTTTTTCTTTTTTAAAAAAGAATAAATCACCTGGTTTCGATGATGTTTCTAGTAATATA